GTTACAACATGACTCAAAAAGCTGTAGAACTCCAGTTGGATTTTTAAAATAATTATTATTTATTAAGCAAAAATGAATCATTTACAAGTACTTATGCAGACTTGTCTTGAGGCAAAGACATAGCTCTGCATGTAATACAAGAAATACAACATTCATAGCATTTTTGTAACTGGGCAGCACCTTATTTCATATTTTCTGACATGATTAAGGGTCAGATATTGGCAAAAAAAAATTAGAAAAGGTAAATAAAAGTAAAGTAAGCATCCAGAATTATGGGATGTAAATACCATAGGCTAGGTTCTTTCACTGATGCTAATGGAGTTGCACCAAGGATGAATTTAACTCCAGGATAACTGAGTTCAGATTAATCTAATTACACAACACCAAAAAAAGCTGAATGAAAGCATGCAGATAACATTGGTTCTGTTCTAGTGCAACATATGGCATGCATCAAGGACCTCACCTATAGACCATGGAGGTCAATGGAAACATGTCCATTGTATCAGTTAGCTTTGGATCAGGCCCCAAGAATATAGTGCTGAGAACAAGTAACTATCTAAGGCTGTTAATATGTGTAGATGCTTTCTGGAGTGCAACTTTTAAGAAAGTGGTGTAGAGTAGTCCTGCTGTCTAAATACCTTAGCAGATTGCAAGAATTTCGTGAATCTGTGAACCATTCCTTTGCAATGTCTTTTCTAGTACTTCAGTTTAATCAATGGGATCTCTTCATGGATCAAGTCCTAATTATCTTCTAACTTTAATCATTTAGCAGTATGTGGGACCAATGTTCAATACATATATAGATGGAAATTCTTTATCTTCCATATTTTGAACAATGAGGATAAAATGCAGTTTCAATCTCTGTGTTACACCAAATTAGGCATTCACCTATCAACATTGTATTAAAGCACCAATTAAAACCGGAATAACCTCATCTTGCAAACAGCAGTTCCCAGATATAGCATTATTATAAGTAATCTGTTCAGTGGAATCATTTGTCATACTAAGCCCTATGCCTAATAGTTAGTGCTCATTAGCACAAACCTAAAATTAGCATTAATATTGTTCTGAGGACTATCACACCTGTAATGGTCCAACTCTTCTATAAACAGGGTCTTCATAAAGTCCTTGTGCACAACCTAAGTTATTAAAGTTTAAAAGTGCACAAAGACTTTATGAAGACCCTGTATTCATATTACTGTAATATAGGTTGAAAGATCAGATTGTATGTAACAAGGTAGCCATCATTATAAACATAAAGCTTTTGGTCACTGGGGTTGTAATTGATACTTTGGACTGTTTCTAACATTTTATCCATAATGATGCTGATTTGACTTTCCTGTCCAGTGTTTGTGTCATAAGTATAAAAGATTTCCTCTTTCCTGGTGTTCATAGTTCTTGTGGCATATAGAACACCACATATGATGAAGGCATTGGAAACAGCTGGTTTGTACTGTTTTGTCTCCCAAGTATTTAGCACATCGAGTGAGGTCTCATTAAGTTTGCTAATCACAATGTTACCAGTGCTGGCCTCAGTTGAATAAATTACCCACAATCCATTTTCATCCACAGTGAAGTCCATATCTTGCCAGGCTACACCAGCATAAGAGAAACGGTTACCATAAACTGCATCTGGCAGAGCTTTCCTCAAAACTACAGTGTTCGTATTTAAATCAAGTTTGGCTATGTCTCTTGTACGATAAATATTAAAATACATGAAGTTATTGTAAACTGTAGTGCCACTGCCTTCTCCATACGTCACTCGGTACTCTCTAGGATTATTGTATAACAACAGGTCATCATAGGAATTATAAAGTCTATAATATTCTAAGAGTCTTGCATCAGTGTTCAAAGGTGCAACCCAGTACATGGCTTTCTCAGGGGTAAGAGGAGAATAATCCCTTCCCCAGGCACCATACTTGAAGGAAAATCCTCTCCAGTTCAACTGTATAATATAGGGCCTGGTGATATTGAGAATTCCACCATGAGAACAGCTACCTGAAAACAAAGAAAATCCAGGATTTCAGACTGGTATGCTTATTAGACAGGTTTTTATGCAGTTCTTTTGAAGAACGTATGCAGTCCTTTTTAAGTCCTTTTTCACCCAAAAGGGTATAAAAGGAGACACCCCAGGTGACCAGGGGGCCTGTGAACAGGGCCTGCAAACAGGGAAAGCAGTTTACAGTCAGTTGCTAGAGGCAAGAGGTGGAAGGAGGAGAAAAGGAGGAGAGAAGCCAGGCACCAGATCCTGCCCAGGAAAGGTAAGTGATCCAAAGCTGCCTGTGCCTTTGGTTTTGCTAGTGTTTGCTTGGTGGGCTGTGTGTCTTTGGGGCATGTGCTCTGAGAAGCTGGGAACGATTGCTTACTGCTCAGTGATTGCTGGTTGTTGTGAGATGGATGACTGCTGTATGACTGCTGCCTGGGTCTGAGAGAAGCCCCAGCAAAGGGGCTGAGTCAGCCCAGGCCCAAAATAGTATAAAAGGAGACTCCCCAGGTGACCAGGGAGCCTGTGAACAGGGAAAGCAGTTTACAGGCAGTTCACAGGCCAGTTCTTAGGCCAGTTTGTGGGTAGTAGCATAGCCTATTACCATACAATGGTGGGGATGCACCATACCCCCTGGCTTCTCACCTTGACCCCAACTGGTGCTCCCTTCCCTTGCACCACTGAGGCCTACACCCAGATGTAAGCCATGGTTCCAGCCTCCACCCAGGTGGAGCCCTTGGCACGAGGATGTGGGGGCTGTCTGGCACAGCTGCCAGCAACTGGGAATGGGAGGAAGGTCACCCCCACCTGTGGCGTATGCTCCTTAGTGAGGTCCCTGGAGTCCCAGGTGACTGAGCTCCAGGCCCAGGTAGGCAAACTTTGTGCCATCAGGGCCCATGAGCAGGAGATGGATGACTACTAATGTCAGACTCTTGTCCTGAAGAATAAAGAAGAAGAGAAGAACATAGAGAAGAAGGTGGCCAACAAGAAGGCTGGCTGAAAAGACCCACCCAGAGCTACCTGGAAGATGGTTGTTTCAGGCTCCAGGACATGCATGGCTAGGGCTGCCCCTCCCCTGGCACTGCACAACAAGTATGCTCCCCTCACACATGAGGAGGCTCCACTGGAGATCCTAGAGGAGGAGTTGGGTAGTCAGGAAACTGCCACCCCCAAAAGGAGATGTTGGGGCGAGGGGGACTCCCTCCTGCATAATACTGACTGACCCATCTGCCTTCCAGACCCCTAGCCTTTGACAGGAAATCAAAGGTCTCAGTTGGAGGACTCAGATGCCTGTACACTAGTGCCAGGAGTAAAGGGAACGAGGAGGGGAGCTAGCTGTCCTACTCTCCAGTGAGCATTATGATCTAGTGGGGATTACAGAGACCTGGTGGGATTCCTCGCATGATTGGAACATAGCCATAGAGGGCTACCCCCTGCACAGAAGGGACCGAATGGTGAAGAAAGGTGGAGGTGTAGCTCTTTATGTGAAGGGGCAGTACACCTCCTTGGAGGCTGACATTGGCTTCAGAGAAGAGTGGCTTGAAACTCTCTGGGTCAAACTACGGGGAGAGGGCAGGTTTGCAGTGAGAGAGACCTAACTGTAGGTGTATGCTACAGAGCACGAAACCGGGGGGGAGGGGCTCGATTTGGAGTTCTCTCGAGAACCGGCAGAGGCTGCACGCATACAGGACATAGTCATCATGAGTGACTTTAATTACCCAGATATCTCTTGGGAGGAATGCTCGGCTAAGTCGGATCAGTCACATTGCTTCCTGATCTGTATTGAAGAGCTCTACCTGACTCAGAAAGTGCACAGGCCACCAGAGGTCAAGCTCTCCTGGACTTGGTCTTGGCCAAAGGAGATGATCTGGTGAGTGACTTGTATATAGAGAGTAGCTTGTACAACAGCAACCACGAAACCATCACATTCACTGTCCATCATAAGGCAGGCAAATCAGGTAGCAGGGTTGAAGTTTTGGACTTCAAAAAAGCAAATTTCAACAGGCTTAAGGCAATAGTAAGGGAAGTGCTACAGGACCAGGGACCAAAGGTCAAAGGAGTGCATGAAGAGTAGTCGTTCCTCAAGGACACAATTCTTGAAGCACAAAAGAAACCCATTCCCATGCAGAGGAACGGTAGCAGAAAGGCTGGTAAGCCCTCTTGGTTTAATAGGGATATCATGATCCTCTTGAAAAAGAAGAAAGAGGCATACAAAAAATGAAAGCTTGAGACAGTCCCTGAGGAGGACTATACAACAATGGCCTGCACTTGTAGGGAACAGATCAGTAAGGTTAAGGCGACAACTGAAATTAAACCAGCAACAGAAATCAAGGACAATAAGAAGTCCTTCTTTAGGTATGTAGGGAATAGGAGGAAAACAAATGGAAGCATAAGGCCATTGCTTAACAACTCAGGACAGCTGCTTACTGACACTCGGGAGAAAACTGAACTCCTGAATGACTACTTTGCTTTGGTATTTCACCAAACTAGATAAGGTTCAAAATGGGCATGGTGGGAATGTCCACCTTCCTACTGTTGACGTTGAGCTGGTTCATGATCAGTTAGAAAAGTTAGGCATTTATAAGACAGCAGGATGGGATGAACTTCATCTGAGAGTGCTGAAGGGGACTGGCCAAAATTATTGCTGGACCTCTGGTGAAACTCTTCCAAAGCTTGTGGCACTCAGGGGAGGTCCCTGAAGACTGGAAGAGGGCCAATGTTGCGCCCATCTTCAAGAAGGGGAAGAGAGAGGACCCAGGCAACTATAGGCCAATTAACCTAACTTCTATCCCAGGGAAAATCCTGGAAAAATTCATCAAGAAGTCTATTTGCGATATGCTTGCAGAAGGTAGGACTCTGAACAACAGCCAGCATAGCTTCATAGCAGGCAGGTCTTGTCTTACCAATCTCATCTCCTTCTATGACCAGGTAACATGCCACCTTGAAAAGAGAGAGGAGGTCAACATTGTATACCTAGACTTCCAAAAGGCCTTTGATTTGGTATCCCATGATGTTCTCACAGGAAAACTGGAGGATTGCTGGCTTAACTGCTCAACAGTCAGCTGGGTAGGAAGTTGGCTGCAGGGTAGGACCCAGAGAGTTCTAATGAATGGATATGTGTTGTCCTGGTGAGAAGTGGCCAGTGGTGTCCCTGAGGGGTTCGTGCTTGGTCCAGTGCTTTTCAGCATCTTTATCAATGATTTGGATGTGGGGGTAAAGAGCTCACTGGCCAGGTTTGTGAATGACCCCAAGTTATGGGAAAATATAGTTACACTTGAAGATAGGTTGCAGGCACAGGCAGACCAGAACAGGCTGGCAAGTTAGGCAGATCAGAACCAGACAAAGTTCAACATTGAGAAGTGTAAAGTGCTCCATCTGGGGACAAACAATCCCCAACATACTTATAGGCTTGGTGGTGCTAAACTGATTAGCACCATGACTGAAAGGGACCTAGGGGTGATAATAAACCATCGCATAAACATGAGCTGTCAGTGTGATGCTGTAGCCAGCAGGGCAAACAATACTCTGGCATGCATCAGCTGATGCATCTCTAGCAAAGCCAAGGAAGTGATTCTTCTGCTTTACTTGGCATTGGTGAGACTGCAGCTGGAGTACTGAATGCAGTTCTGAGTGCAACACTTCAACAACGACATGGGAAAGTTTGAGACAGTCCAGAGAAGAGCCACCTGTATGATCAGAGACTTGCCAGGCAAGCCGTACAAGGAAAGACTGAGGGACTTGGGTCTCTTCAGCCTAAAAAACGGAAGGCTAAGAGAGGACTTGGTAGCAAGTTACTGCTATATCAGAGGAATACATCAAGGGTTCAGTGAACAACTGTTCACCAGGGCACCATTGGGGAAAACCAGGAATAATGGCCACAAACTCCTGGAAGACTGTTTCAGGCTTAACACTAGGAAAAACTCCTTCACAGTCAGGGTGTCCAAACTGGGAATTAACTCCCTTCAGAGGTGGTGCAACCACCTACCCTGGAAATCTTGAAAAGGAGACTGGACAGTCACCTCTCTGGGATCACCTGACCTCAGTTGTTTTTCCTGTGTTGTGCAGGGGGCTGGGCCCAATGATCTTGCAAGGTCCCTTCCAGCCCCTTACAATATATGAATCCATGAATCTATGAAACTCACTTTGCTGAAAAGAGCAGAAATGCATATTTTGATTGTAAAAGATTCAGCTTGCACAAATGTTTATATTTTGTAAATAGCATGTGAACGCTGTATTCACTATTGCCATTGCTTCAGAAAAATGCATACCTTGGCATAATTTACATCAGTTTTGTATGCCAATATAAATTACACCAGGATTATGAATAAATGAATGAACAGTTATTGCAGGGTAGTTGCTGGCAGTAAACAAGTATTACTGCTCCGTGCCATAACATGGCTTTTAGCAAACTACCACAGGGTGGAAATAGACAAAACCTAAAGCAGTGCAACTGATATCAGTAGAATTTTACTTTGGATTCTTTCTTGCCACTTGATTGGTCAAAGTCACTTCAGTTTCAGGGTTTTCTTTGTCTATTCACTCCTTTGTTCCACCAGTATAATGCCAGCTACACTGGTGTAAAAGTTTTGTCTATACAGGGTCTCCGCCTGTTTTAGCAATACAGTGTTCCTAGGCCCAATTCACTTGAAGTGTGTTCATGTTGAAAAAGCAATAGCAACAAATTATAGACATCAATTCTTTGTCAGTACCCACTTGGAAATATAAGTGAGCAGTTTGCCATTCCAAATATGCAATCAAATTTCTGTTTCCACATATGTAATCCCCAAGTTTTGGATTTAAAAAAGTAACCCACACTTTTCCACATTTTTCTGTGATTAAAATGACAGTTCCCATATGTTCCCAAATGGCCACGTGGGCTGCTTTATCTTAACTTCATCGATTGAGCTTTAGATAAAACATCCTGTGGCCATTTTGAAATGTGCAGGGGCTTAATACACATGATAATGAGCTGTTTTAGACTGGCTTTCTGGAAACCATTCTAATTAAAACACCCCACCTCTCACCCTGCCCCAAGCATGTGTATAGGCAGCCTATGTTTCTATGTTTTGGGGTTCTTCATGTGAACCCGATTGTAATGTACAACTATGCCTGAGCTTGTGTACAAACAGCACCAGTGTAGCCACTGCTGCTCAGACGTTTCTCAAGGAGCAGGAAAGTGAAATCCACATGGTCCATATCACTTTCACAGAAGCTAGTAAAATCGGAGCTGGTCAGAAACCCCACAGTTAGGAAGTGTTTGTAAGAGAGGGCAGTACACCTTTTCATTTTTTTTTTTTTTTTTGGTGCTTTCCAATTGGAAAAGAGTAAGAATTGGTGAAAGCATTTGTCTTCTATTCTCATATTATTTTCATATTAACCCATTGCCAAAAACGTTAGTAGGTGTCTGGTAAATGCTTCATAAGTTGTTTATTATCATTCTCATTATATGTAATATTAATAATCAGTTAATTCACTCATCCTCCTACTTTTCACATTTCTTCCTGTGTGGTCAATAAAATAAGTGCTTACCTGGTGCAAAATAGGGTGGTTCTGTGGTCTTACTGCTGTTCTCTTCACATGCCTTCAGCTGATTCTGCAGATTTACAATTTGTCGACGAATTGCAAGGACATTGTTTTTGTCCATTAATTCAAGATCATTTACTATCATAGTCAGATTCTTGATCTAGATAAACACAAATTCAGAATTAAATTTTGTATTCATTTTAGGAAGACTTTCTTATTTCACAGAAGATGATGCAGAATGCGTTTTTTAGGATATGTTTGAATATGTTTTAGAATAAGTTTGATTATGCCTAACAAGAAAATGCTTGTAATTCTGAAACTCAGTTGTGTTCCATAATGCAAAATACTGCATTACAAATAATAGAATCATAGGCTAGAAAAGGCCTCAAAAGGTCATGTTGTCCAATCCCGTACATGAAAACAAGAATGCTATTCCTGCCCATTAACACTTACTCCACTATTAACTTTTACTTAAAATGTTACCTCCCCAAGTAAATAAAATTCTCTTATCTATGGCTAAAGAAGACAATGAAGAAATTAATTATATTTTACCTACTAATTGCTTTATCTTATTGTCATTATTCACTCCAGGTGAGTGATAAATTACACTCTTGAAAATATGATTAATTGTATGTTGGGAAGCTGAGTCTTTTCCAGTTCCTTATTTTATATTCATGGGACTACAATCCTAGTAATGAGAAGTTAATTTTTTAATTATTTGGGTTAAAGAACAGGAGCTGACAGCCAGAGGAGTCTATAAATTCTATAAATTAATATTTCTTAAATAAGTTAGTCAGTACTTTTATTAAACAGGGCATTCAAAAACTTTAGCTTTCAGGCACATGAATAAAATGGAGGCCCTCATTTCCATTTTTGCCATATATAAAGAAGAAAAATTAAAATATTGTTAAGGCAGAGATTTTTTTTTTAAATTACACCAAGGAAAATCCAGAATAATTCCACTGACAACAACTGGAGGCAGTGATATAATGATGTTGTGATATAGCCAAGGGAAAAAAAAATGTTTGTAATTTGAACCCTGAGTGGCTCAATAACACTTGTCCAGTTTCCAGTACCTCCACATATAGTTGTTCAACGATCACATTACTTCCAACAAGTGTCGATTTTAACTGAATAATTAGTTTCTCCATTTCTTTGATTTCAACTTTCAGTAACTGGAAGTCCAATTCAGTATAGGAACCACTTGTCTTCTCCATAAGCTCCACCCTTATAGTTAGATTTTGGATTTTTTGTTCATACACCTCCATTGCTTTTATGTACTGTGTAACCTAAAAGGCAAGCAAAGTTTCCAGTTCAGTTTAGCAAATATAACATGGATGTTTGACACCTTTATTCCACAAGCACACAAATTGAATCAGGCCTACATACACATAACATGCCAAATTTGGCTTTTGTTGCAAATTTGGCTTTTGTTTCGACCTGTGCAATCCTACTCAAGTCTCATAAGGAATACTTGGCTTTAATTGAGAACAGAATGTGCTGATAATCTTTTATTCCTCATCCATGTTTCCTCTACAAGGTAACTTTTATCCCAGTTTTGTGTAGAATTTATGGGGCCAGATTCTAGCAGATAACTGCAGTGATGATTTAATATGAAGGACTTAACTGAAGAATTTTAGTGACCTGAGAAATATGAGAGAGGTCTCCAAATTGTGATATTTCTTTCCATTGACTACAAGGAATACTAGATCAGAGAGCATTTTATATCTTTTCTTCATTAGAGCTCTTTGGATCTTCTTAAAATTATAGTTTTAGCTCTATATACTTTAAAAAATACACTGATTTGTCCATCCTGAAACTAATTTAAGTTAAAGCTATTTGAGATGAAAAAATATTATTTACCTTTAGCTTGAATAACTTATACAGCCAGTTCTTCAGCTGTAGAACTGTTAAAAAGATGGTTGAATAAATATACTTTCAAACTGTATCTGTTAACTGTATCTGTTAATGTAAAGGTCACCATGCAAATAATGTCAAGAGCAATGTCAAGAGCTTTATATAGATTTGGAATATTTTCTAGAAAATCAGAGTTCCACAAAAATTAACAGTTTGGGAAAAATATAATTCTCCTATATGTTCCAGATTACTTTTAAAATGTGCCCATTTGCCTTTAAATGATTCTGATGACGTTGCAAAGTTGAAGGATCTCTCAACAGCCCACTAGCAGCTCTGAAATTATGGCCTAAGAAGACCTGTCTATTGTATGCCCCCTATTTTCAGATGCTTACCATCCCTTTAAATATTGCCTTTCTGTCTGAAATTGCATATGCATATGTTCAGCCCCAAAATTTAAAAATCAATTTGATCAGAAATTAAAATGTGTTTCACTTGTCAATAAAGTTTCTGTTGTATTTTAAACATGGGCCTAGATGTTCTTTTAAAAATTTGACATGGAGAAAGTTTTCATTAAAACCAAAACTTTGCTGTCCTTGTGTTATCCTGTCCAGATACCCAACTGAGACTTTGGAACAACTACAGAATAAACCTTATTTAAATAAGTCTTTCTAAGGTTTACACTAAATCTGGTGTATGCTGGTACTGGACTTTGATAGTTTACTAAGTGGTACATATACACTCATGCTGGACAGATATGCTCAATTCCGCTCATAATTCTCTTTGTATTGAATCTCAGTGATTTGTTTGAAAAAGCATAGTCTAAGTAAAGAACATGCTCTTTTCAGAACTGTAATTTTCTATGCAACTATATCTCAACTACCTTGCAAATATGAACAAGCCCTTTGTGCATGATTCCTTATGTATATAAAAATATTTCATGAACCATCTTAGACTCTTAGACATACAATTTATGCATTCCCATGAATTTCAACTGGGGTTTTAAACTGGTTTTCAAACCCAAATATGAACTAGTTCCTGAGCTGACATAATTTTGGGATGGCCCCACAGATTCTAATGGATCTACAATGATTTACCCTAACCAAGAATCTAACTCTTTGTCATTCCCAATCCTGTATAAATTCAGGCTAAGGGATAATTAAACAATATATAGGCCCAAGGCACATCATCCCTCTAAATACTGCCTTTCTGTCTACTATTTATGCCTCTGGTATGAGCGAATGAACAAACTGCAGACAGTTAAAACGGGCCTGTGGAGGAATTAACAGTTACAGTCTGTTTGCCGGCTTTTACTCCACATTAAGCGAAAGCTAAACCAAGGCATTTTTGCTCATAGGTAAAACAGCTTTGTCACAGTGTAGGTTTCACTTACTCCAAGATAAAAGCAGGCACATGGACAGTTTCCACAAATCATCTACTCCGTGATAAGACCATGACCTCTTTTAATTCACTGCAGTTTGAACATTTGTCCTCCCCAAGGACACTGTCTTTCTGATGACTGTTCCATTGTATGGCAGTTAGACTCATTCACCCTTAACTCTTTGTAAAGACTGGTCTTGTGACTGTGGGGCTGGTTAGGCAACTGGTAAAAATATAGAAAATGGAGGATGCAAACTACTACACTAAAGTCACTTCAGTCAATCCACTAGATAATTACCCCTAAATGAATGGGTTTAAAAATCCACTGATATACATTACACTGGTCACATCTACACAAGATATTTGCTGTGCAGTTGACTAATTAGCTATGCAGTAAACATCTTGGTGTCTACACATGCAACCCTGTTAGGGTGCATGAAACTAATCAGCTTGGCTAAAATTGATGAGTTTGTACACAGAAGCATACATGTAGACACTGTTTCAGCTGGCTGGGGCACAGGGTGCTACGGTGCAGGGCTAACCAGCAGGCAACCTGTGTGCTGAAGAACCCTTGTGCCCCAAACAGCCCCTCTGCAGCACGTGGAGCCCGGTCGGAGCAGCCCTGGGCAGACAGGCTGACCCCCCAGGTTCCCTGCATGCCCAGGCTGCTCTGACCAGGCTCCACGTGCTTTGCACAAATAAACTCTGAGCAATAAGCTCCAGAGTTTATTCATGCACATTAATCACATGTGTAAATGTGCCCACTGTAGTTGTCATTTGCCCTCAGACCATCTGGAGATAGCCATTTGGTCAACACAAACATACTATTACTTGCTCTTCAACCACCTAATGGCAAGGAAGAGTTTGGGCTAGCCCATGATAATGCAGTGTGCATCAGGGTGCAAAACTAATTCAAGTTGTATTGAGATATACAATCATCTGTCCATACCCTGACTCTGCCTTTGGGAGATTGTGCCCGATCCTCTTTGACAGGCCAACATACCATCTCAGAAATCCAACATGTAAACCACATTTTAGGATACACATCAGTAATCATTAGTGTCCACCCAGATACTCTTCACAGATATCTTAAATGGGGTATAAGTAGTGCACACGACTTTAACCTTTCCAGAACTAAAGTGAAGCTACTTTTCACATATTCAAGAATAATTCCTGCTATAGTTCTCCTTTTTCAAGTGTTATCACACTAAGGCCATGAAAAGGGCCAGGAAAAAAACAAAACTGTAATGTTCATTATTGTACCATTAGTATTTATCAACACAGGTTTCTCAGCATGAAAACAGACACTCCTCCAACATGTAGGTCCTCCTCTTCACTGATGGTGGTTGTTAAAACAAAAGTAGAATGGATTTTCAATTACTCTGGAATAAAATAACACTTAGGCACCTTAATTCACTTAGATACCAAACAGTAGAATAGAGTTTGGTCCATAGGGCTGCCTGTATATGTCCTTCAGTGCATTCTAATTGGAATGTGTTGGAGCTGATGTGATTAATCTGCCTGAGAAGTTTAGTTTAGCTTTAGTTAAAGGAGTGCTTTAACTAAGGAACATCAAATGAGATTTGGTTAAAGCATCCTGCTGCCATTTGTAAACAAGTGGGCATGTAATATATGTGACACTGCAGCGTTTTAAGTAAAGTGTGTCTCTGGGAACTGCTCTAATCAAAATGCCCGCGCCCCGCTTCCAAGCATGTGTATAGGTAGCCTCCAGGCCTGCAGTTTCCTAGTTATTTCAAATTTTACCGAGTCCACTAGAAGTCCATATAGCATAAATGTAGGTCCAGGTTGAAAAAAATTAATTGTATTTGCATTCCCCAAAAGGTATGGGAGTGAGGGTTGGAGCCAGGGTTTTGATTCCGGTCACTCTCTGTCTATAGTATGAACTGGATTTATTTTTTTGGGTGGGGGGAGGTGTTATGACTTCAGTTTGTTTCTAATTGTATGCAGGAACAAAGAAGAATATTGGCAATGTATACCCAGGGGGATATCTACACATTTAGAAAGGTAAGAAACTCATTTGAAATATATGTCTACATAGAACAAGTACAAATATGCACTTGGATTAATGCCTCCTTCCCCACATTTTTAAATTACTCCAACTCAAAAGGTTAATGGAGCAGAGCTGAGTAGCTTTCTTCTTTCTATAGACAAACAACATAATACCTATGAACTTTTAAAACCTCTGTAGTTAAACTAACCTCTAATGTGTTTGTTTTCATTTCTGGCCCCTGTGTGGCTCTTCACCTAGGATCGCATTTTGTAAGATTTGTCACACTGTATCTAGCTTGATGCATTGTAAGGCTGCCTGACTGATCAATCACAGCAGGCTGATGTTCAGTGAAGCTTGGGTTAGGTCAAGAATTTTCACTGTCTACAGCTGAAGTTGAAAACTGAGAGTCATATCCTAAAATGATGTGCACTGATGCATTAACTTCAACAGGGCTATATCATGCATGCCAGTAGAGTCTATCCACTTGCTTTTTTTAATAGGAAGCTGCTAGAGGTCTGAAAAAATCCTAAAATTCCAGCTATCGCTACTTATACTCTGATAAAACTCCCAGTGCAGAGCTTTACTTCCATAGAAGATTGGCCTTAGGTGGGTCTCATGTCAGTCTCCCTGATCAAAAAGGCTTTGCAGAATTAATCCAAGTTTGAGCATGGGAATTATGGATCTGAACCTGATCTCTTGCCACCAATTACAATGTTGCTACTGAGCTGGCTGGGACCTCCATGTTAATACCTCATGGTCTTCCTAGATCATTATTGTCAAGTTATACATTC